CACCTGTGGTTTCCAGCCAAACAAAATACAGGCATATGAGTTGAACATTTACCTCAAGTAGATACACTCCTTGGAGAGAACAATCATGGGGAAAAGATGGGCTGCTTATACACAGGGAGACAGCTCAGGGGGCAGGAGTGTATGGAGGGATGGACACTGGGAAGAGGTAACTATGGGGAGGAAGTGGGAGGGGAGCTATTGCATTGTGGTAAACCATGGTCAATGATGTGAGACAAAGTATATGTGAACTGCTGTATGAAAAGTGAATTTGCTCTGTAAATCTTCACCCAAATCACAATGAAAAAAAAATGGGAAAGGGGGGAAAAAAAAGAAAAGAAAAGAAATTTTTCTGCCTGGAAAAAGTATCACAAAGTCAAAAGACAAATGACAAAGTGGAAAAATATTTGCAACTCATATTACTGTCCAAGGACTAATGTCCTTGATAAAGATCTTTTACAAATATTAGCAACCCAACAGTAAAATGAGCAAAGGACATAACAGACATTCCACACACACACACACAAAAAAGCCTCTTAAATATATGAAAGATATTCAGTCTCACTCATAATAAAAGAAAGGCAAATCGAAACTATGAGATACCATTTTAAAATTATAAAATGGGCAAAGATCAACAACTCTGCTAATACCCTCTCTTGATGAGCACATAGGGAAAACTGTACTCATATACTGCTGATGGTTTAAATTGATATAACCTTCACACTAAGTACCATGCAGTGGCAAAATCCACTCTAATCTCATATCCTACCATTTTCTCTCTTGCTCAATCTGTATTAGCCATACTGGACTTTGTTCTTCCTCAAACAAACCACACATACTCCAGCCCAAGAGCTTATCAATGTGTATCAATTTTTCTTTCGCCTCCTTTAGGCAGTTGCTCAAATGTCACCTCCTTAAAAAAGGCCTTCTCTGGTTACCCTATTTAAAACAGTGGCTTCTGGACAAGAACAGATATAAGCATATCCATGTTCATTGCAGCACAATTTACAATAGCAATAAAATGGAAACAACCTAAGTGCCCATCAACAAAAGAATGGATAACCAAACTGTAGTACATACACACAATGGAATACTATGCAATGGAATACTGTAGAATCTGCAAAACACAGAATAATGTGGATGAACTTGGAGGACATTAAACCAAAACCAAACCTAACTCACTGCCATCAAGTTGATTCCAACTCACAGTGACCCCCACTGGGTTTCTGAGGCAGTAAATCTTTACGGAATAAGATTGCCTAATCTTCCTTCCATGGAGTG